TCGGACTTGACGTAGAATGTTTCCGGATCGACGATCGGTTAGATGCCACCGTCGCCACTAATCACTTACGCCTTTTAATAAGAACGTTTATCGTAATCAAATGTTAAAGGTATTTTTTCAGTAAGGGTTTAATGGAGTATACCAGACAATGCGTTTTGTGGAACAAAAAAAAAATAATAGGTAATAATTTAACACTGAACGGCGATTAAACTTTACAGATATTTGTCGAGAGTTAATAATAGTTTTCGAAGAATTAGTCTATTGTATGATCAAATATCATAATGTTACTATCGCTTTTTAAACCGGCCAAAAACAAAAATAATAATAATAAATTAAATTAATTAATTAATACGGTTGTATTGCAGTCCATTGTTATTCTAGATTTTTGTTTTTTTTTTTCTTTTTGATAAGTCGAATGATGATTAACACGAAAAATGAGGTACGTGTTTTAATCATAATTTTTAAATACCTTCAAAATATCAAATACGAAAACTGTTGATGTGGAACAAAAATATAACAATTTAAATTCAGTAAAACTTGTTTTCTTATATAGTGGTCCTAATATTATTTACTTTAACGTATTATGCGTAAGACCATGAACAAAGCATGTTAAGTATGTACAAATGATACAACAAAACAATCTACCATTATGCTCCAATGAAGTGATGTGCACACTTAAAAATATGTTTTTAAATATCAAGTATAGTATCTATATTTTATAAATAATTTCATGAAATTTCTAAATTTATTTTAATTTTAATTTGTAGTTCTTTGTGATAAACAAAAACAGGAAAAAAATCGCAAGACCCCTACGTTATCCATATGATTTAAAGGGACAGTGAACAATAGTTTAACACTTGGTTTTAAAAAAATACAAATATTTTTATCGATTACAATCACTGGTGTAATTGTGGGGGGCAAAGGGGCAAGTGCCCCCTCTGACCATTTTTTGAGAGATAAAGATATAATTTTGCCCCCCCCCCCCAGATAATCCAACAATACAAATAACACTTTTTATTAATGAACTCTTATGGATATTATTTAACAATATTGGTACCTAGTACATGCTACCTACAATTTACGTTTATCCAAACCATAAAATGAGTTAAAAGACTTATGTAAAATCAAACAATTAGATATAGTGTATAAAATACATACAATAAAAATATGTTTTAACTGATGAGGGGTAAGTGGTCAGGGTTTTGGTAATAATAAATATATTATATTGCCCCCCCTAGGTTTTTTCCCAATTACGCCACTGATTACAATAATATTGCAATGGTGTCAAACGTATTCTGAACAGAAATAATGTTGTTGAAATGAAAATAAAAATGCTTTACCGTGTAGTACGTATGCTTTGATTTTTATATTCAGTCGAAAAAAAAAAATTGGAGATTCCGATACTGGCAAATCGTGGTGTTCGCAAGCTGCTACCACCGAGAGTAATAAATTAACATTATCCGATGCTCTCTGACCAGTACAACAGCTGTAGTGGATCAAAAATATCTAATTATGCATTTAAAATGTCCGAGACACTACGGTTTTATTCTCTTTTTAAAATAAATACATACAAATAAGTAATAATCACGTTGCATACGATTAAGTTGTACGCATTCGATTTCGTTTTATTTTAATGGTTTAACGTCTGGTGGTGTGTACACGTGTCCGATAGTAATATATAGTCGAGTGATTTTACAATGACACTCGTCTGGCATCGTTTTTGGTGTACGATATTGCAGCTGTATAACGCGTTGTTTACACCAGCGGCGAATATGATTTACGCCGAAACAGAGAAAAAAAAAGTAGTAATTTCAATCATAATTCATGATAAATTGTGTTTTTAAATTTAGCGAGTGCAGCGGTTGGTCCGCGGTAGGGTAATAAATTACATACTGTTAGCTCTCCATTAATATTTTTATACGTCAATACGTTTCTTCTTCGAGCAGAAAAAAATATTGATAATTCTCTCTACCTTATTTGTACTCATAATTTAGGTGCACATCTCTGCCGAACTTTACGTTCGATAGTACATACAATTTATTAATTATTATTTACTGCGTTATGATAAAATTTCATCAGTTTTACCCTGTCGCATAAATTTTACCATACATTACCGCCCACTAAATCAATCAGGACAAACTGTCAGTGAACATCAGATGTTTAATATGTACGAATGAAAAAAAAATATTTGAGATTCTATAATTACCATTTGATTTGAAATAATGTAATAAAATACATTACATGATGACTAAACTTCAACGAGTAATTCCTGTTTCGCGTTGTCATCTTAAAATATTCATCCTAGTTCAAAAGTAAATAATAACATAATTTTTTTACCAGTTTCTCGTTAACCGAATAGTAATTTACATAAACGCGAATCCGCTTTTACGTGTTTCACCGTAAGAATAATGATCACGCAAAAGGGTTCCATTTATACTTTCTGCATATTAATACGAACGTCGTCGTCGTCAGCAGCAGTTATTGCGGTATACACGTTTTATGGGTTATTAACTGCGGAACGGATTATTTTTTCTGTAATATATGCTCAAAAAAAAAAAAAAAAAATAATAATAATAATAATAATAATAAATTAAATAAAATACAATTTTCAATTAAGCTATTCGATTTTATCTGGTGTTCTATAGGTTTATATTCGTATTGTGATTGAAATCTTAATCTCGTAACGATTTGAATCACAAACCGTGATTAACGAAAAACAAAATCGATAAAACCCGAATGCTTAAGATCCAATAACGTGCAGTATGAATACGTTGTTTTTGCATACACGCATTTGATATACACACTTAAACACATTTTTTGTTGTTGTTGTATCGCTATTATTAGTATTTTTCGAGTAAAAAGCGCTCCTCAGCTGCTACATAAACGTTTTAAAAATTATTTATTTTGGTTAACGTCTTATTAGCGCGAAACGACAGGAGTTGCAAACAAGCGATTCTCATTATTCATTTTAGATTACCGAAGTAAAAATAATAACGCTATATATTGATCATTTATATTCCAAATGTAAAAATGAGGAATTTTTCCGCTGAGAACAGTTTTTTTTTTTTGTACTAAAAATTCATCTAATTTTTTAATAACGATATGGTACGCAAAAGATTATTTAAATAAACAATTCTCGATTCTCTCCCAGTGATTATCTGGAAGCAAAAAACGGAAAAAAATCGCTGAAATTGTCTAATATTTAAAATTTGTATTTTTAATTTGTTAAAAAACATGCCCCAACGTTTGACACTTGACATTTTAATGCTTAAGATTATAAATGTTTTATTTTCTACCTAGTATTTTTATACACTATACTATGTATTATAATTATTTTTAAATAAAAAATGCTTTAAAAATTTAAAAATAAATTCCTATCAAAACCCAGTAGTACTCTTAACTTTCATATCTCACCGGAAAACTTAAAATTAAAATAAATCACTTATCCACGAGAACAGTGTCATTCAATACTAATTATTTATCTTCTTTTAATATATGAATACATTGAAGCTGAATTTTTTCATACATATAAATCCCTATATTAACATAAATTTTAAAAGTAGTTATTATATCAGGTAAACTTGGCATTAATACTTGTCATTCTAACTTCCTAGTATCTGAACATTTTCTTTTCTTAAATTAAATTGCTATATGTGAACAAGTGCATTATAACTAGTATAAATTCAAAAACAAAGTTTTTTTTCAAATTATTAAATTTAAAAATATTTCTAAAAGGTTTGCGAATCTGTGTGTGGACTAAAGTTGTTTATTTATAAAAATGGTTGCATTGAAGCAGTGGTATGATTGGGGTGTTGTGTTGTACTTGAAATACCAAATCATTTTCAGATGTTGAAAAAGTATAATTTTTCAAAAAAAAAAACTTTAAATTTGTATTTTGTTTCATTGTTTTAAATTATATCATGGAATACATAAACATTTTATCTAAATATTTACAATCTGTGAATATTAACTAAATACTCAATGTAATAATAATTGTAACGAAGCAATGGAAATGATTTAAACAAAAAACATTAATCCGTCCAAAATACCTCATATAAAAATTTTCCAAAATGGTTGGGAAAAGGGGCCTCAAACTTTAAATTTAAAAAAGTGTTATATTATTTAAATTTACTATCTAATCTTAAATATAATAGTTAGGGAATACAACAACGTTATCCAGAAAACCAGCTAGATTTATTAAATGGATTAGAAGAAATATTATTCAATGATAATCCACCACATGAAATATATTATTTGTAACACTCACAACTTAGATTTATAAAAATTATTAATTAAAATATATTTAAATCTTGCAATATTTTAATGTTCTATTTAAAAAAATTAACAAATTAATTAGTAAACGTTTGTCGTATTTGTTAAAAAAAAAAATTGTATTTTTTCAATATGTATAAATTAAAAAAATTTAAAATTTAAATTTATGAATTTAAAATTTAAAAATTTAAAAAGAATTATGTTTAAATTTATGTTCTATGGGTTGTAAGCTATATTGCTATTATCTATAATTTGTGTAATGTTACTAATACATAATCTATGGTAAAAAATTATAGGCACCAGAGTAATTGAAGTGGTATATATTTATTGTTTGTTTGTCATACCTGTAAATATCAGTATGTGATACGGTTGTGATTGGATTTTATTATTGATTTGACCTGGTTGCAATCGACTGCTGGTTATTGGCTAGTTGTTATGACCGCATGATGACATTTTCGTACAAAATATTAACTTAGCACTCACGGTGCTTCGTAAAGTGTTAAAAGTGTATCTATCGATTCGATAAAAAAATTAGGATTGAAAAAAGCAAATCGTGTATATATAAATGAAAGAACATAAACATAAAGAATATATAGTTATAGAATATATATTAATTATATAAAGTACTCGAATGATTTGGAAATACTCGATGCCGGTGTACTGATAAAAATTGTAAATCAAGTACATAATATGTTGACAATAATTTGACGATGTTCTTAGTACACTAAATGAACCATGATCGCAATACAATTACAGAGAAATATTGTTAATAGACAAATAGTCAATTCTCGAATCAGAAGAAAACGCAAAAACTACTGATTTATAAGAAAGAACAAAATTATTCGACTGGAACTTTGCAGCACTGAAAAGATTTATACAACGATAATTCGGATAACAGATTATACAGGTACGATGTTTCGTAAAAAAAATTTTCAACTAACTCCTTAATAATCACTGAGAGAATGAAATATCAAGTGACACTCTTAAAATTAGTATACCTGTATGACATATATACAGCGTAGTGCATAACTGTTGTTCAACTAATTTCGATACTAACTCATACTAAGTTGATCGACTCATATTTTTGTTAACTACACGTTTTTCTATCCACCAAAATACTATGATCACTATGAAAATGATACACACGATATTTTTACGTTCATTTGGCGTAGTTTTTATTTTTATTTTTTATTACACGACTTATTTTGCTAGAACCTCAATAATTCGAATATCCTTAAACGCGCTTGTATGTACATTCATGTGTTTAAAGACCTTGTGCAATCTATTTGACATACTCGAAACGAAATCAATAACGATGGCGATTAAATATCATCGCAGTTGATCGTACCTTACCTATCCGATCGAGACTTTATTTGTATTATTTTACCAAAATAGAAAATGATACGATTTCCTATGCTATTAGTTAGTTAGATAACGCTACGGACCACAATGTGGTCAACAATTTATCGCAAAAAAGATAACAGACTTCTTTAATATGCAACATACAATAATATAATAAATAAATATCAAAATAAATGTAATACATACGTACAATTATTCACCTCTCTTAAGTTTGAATTAATTTTTTCCCTCTAATATTCGAACACTCGGTAAATCGAAAACCACATTAAATCAAATTTTTAACCAGGTCTCCTGAATTTCGAATTATCGAGTGACTAATGTATAAGGTTCAGCTAATACTAGTTTTATTACTTCTATCATTGTGGATGTACGCGAATCGCAAGTAATTAAAACGTCATCAAAGAGTCGATCCTTTCTTTCTTAATACTTAGTGGGTAGCTCAATATGATCAAGTGCTACGCAAACTTCTAAGCAGTAATAATTCTCGTTTTTTTTTTTTTTATCCAAATACTAATCAAATATACAACCATCTACGTTTCTCATCGATTATTTTCTTAACAGTGATAAAACTTTTGTGACTTCGTGGTCTGTACAACAGAACAAGAAAACGGGCTTTACCGTGGTTCCGTCACACAACAAGCTTTTGCTATAATATGTTAATATTTCTCCCATATACAACCATGCATCGCCATCAAACGGTTTTTTTTCGTCTTCAAGATGATAAAACTCATATGCGTGCACAGACCTGTATTTCGGGAGGTTCCTACAATAATTTTAGGACCTATCTTAACAAAACGTGTACAAGGTATATTTAATAAATCATAACATAACTAATTTTTGTTTAATATTGTGGCATATAAGTCCCAATAAATATTTTTTCTTTGAATCTCGTATATTTTTCTCAGGTAGCTCAAATTATTTACGATTTGTACTTTAGAAGTAAATTATAGCTGTCAGATTATCATAATAAGTTTTTGCACGAACGTTTAGAACATTTTGTTTATCTTATTACGAAACATCAGTTATTTACTATGACATATTTTAGAATAAATTTAGTTTAATTTGAGCAGTTATAATACGGTCACCTAACTTTTAGAATTTAATTGTAGGGCTCCATTTACACATTTACAACATTTTAATAGAGGTGCCCGGGAAAAATGGATAAGACCTACCCAGACTGACTTATGCGCTTGGTGACGAAAGACTATCGGCTATCGGACACGTGCGGAAAACACCGAATACCGCAAAATCGAATGGCTTTCAATCGTCGACCCGTAGGTCAAGGTAAGATCGAAAAATCCGAATAACTATTGTTAATACGTTTCCAATTCGTTTTCGTAAATATAAATCATGATTTTAATTTTAATAACTTTATTTGATTTGCCGACTTATTATCTTACAGTAAACAAGCGGATAAGTAACCTTCGTTGTTGTCAAGACGAATAGTAATCGTTGTAACGCAGAACGTAGATTCATTATCCGAGTTTCAATACAATAAAAGGTAAATTATAAATGTTGGTATAACTTTCATTTTATAATTGTTGTGTAAATTTGAACTCAGACGCGGTAAGATCAGACCATGGCCTAGTTGACTGGGTACACTCGGACCGTAGATTCGTCTATGATCGCCACAACGAAAAACATAATTATTCGAAATGTCACAACTGGAATTTAGATGGTAAATATATACGAAGAAAAAAAAATTCTTAATTTAGACCTTCTTAGTTTTATAATATTTATGGTTGATGTTCATAATTCAACGACGTAATTTTTTATTTTTTTAATCATAATTCAGCTTGTAAAAACAAATATTTTGAGTTCCGAGAGATCGTTTTGAGTATGATCTATGCGCGTTTATATATGGTACGTCGTTGTCCGGACGCTTTGGTGCGCGATTGGATAGATTAGTGGTTCTCAAACTGTGTTACGCGAACCCCTTGGGGGTACTCGAGATTTTTTGAGGGGTATGAGTCTGGCCAACAAACCTTTAAATTTAAATAATTTATATGGAAAACGGTTATTCAAGTTTAATTCGCGTTAAAAGTCAATGTAGAAACAAATTAAATATCGAAGATAGTTAAAGATTGTATTTAACTAAACTAGAACCCTATATTGATAAACTGCGCCAGCAAAAACAAGCTCACCCTTCTCACTAATTTCGTTGAAAGTAAGCTATGTTTGTTTTTAACATTTTTTGTATGTTAGTTTTTAACGAAATAAAAATGAGTGTAAGTATTTAATTTTTTTTTTATTTCTTTTAGTTTACTAAGTAAAAAGGGGTACAGTATTTATAAAAGTCTGAGAAGCCCTGGTATAGATCACACGAAGTAATATTCAATTACAAATACCGTTGCGGCAGTGATAAAACCAAAAAGCCTACACACACACACACACACACACACACACGTTACAGGAGAGTTTCAATGACATTGAGTGGATGTACATTTTCGCACACGCGTATCTACTGCTCGTGTACAACACGTCCAACGATCGGTTGAACGTTTGCCAAAACGTTGTGGTGTGCGTGTGTCGATCCGTACGGTAATAGTAATAATATGAATAATAAACACAACCCGTACGGTAATAATAATAATATGAATAATAATCACAATGATGAAAAATCGCAATTTTAACAATAATAACAATAATAATATCATATTCTCCAGCCGATCGAATTTTACGACTTGATTCCATAGCTCTATAGAGCACACTGCACCCAGATGGATGTTCGGTGTCAAGCGCGGTTCAACAGGTTTCGCGAGCGGAAGATTTGTTTATTTACCCCCACCCCGACCCTCCGACCGTAATATTTGTCAATACCGTACACGTTGGTCTGGTACGAAAACGCGTCACACGACTATTATAAAATAGGCACATGAATCGAGTTTGCCATCACGGTGTGCCATAATAACCCTTCCGTTCCGCACGAATGTGTCCGCCGGAGGCGTTAACGACACGTGGTCGCCACCACCTGTTGATGCACGAGATTCGCGTACGGAGTACGTAGGTCATCGTCAAAATGGCCGGTCTAGAAACGAACGCTTTTCGTTGAAAATGTATTACAGTTGAAATCGGAAAACTGTACGTTAATCACAGCCATCTACGATAACCGCTAGAATATTATTTTATTATTATTATCATTATTATTTCAATTTTTTTATTTTAAAAGTTTTCGACACATAACTTACCGGCTTACAATAGTTTTCCACGCTTAAAGTAACATTTCATTTACGTACATTTTTTAATTTTTTTTTTTTTTTTGATATTTTCCGTAACTGTAAAAGTGTTCGCAACGCACAATGGTGAAACGTAAGGGTTGGCTTTGCGGCTTATAATCATACACAAGGAGTAATATTTTTGAGAGTATGGGTAGGGGTTGAGTTTTAAGTTTTGCGCACTTCTAAAAAAACCTTAAAATAACCTGGTTGTCGCAATCGATTTGCGACCACGGGCCGACGAACGGGTGGGTTTCATTGCGCGTGTACGACACGTTTCCCGTGGGTGACGGTGAACGTGTGTTGCGCACGAAGACGAGAGCCGTTCTCCTTTGACATTTCACCTCTTCTACGCCAAACGATACTCGGCAGTACGTGTACACATGTCGCGGCACACAAATTATGGTGTGATTTTAACGTGTGCCGGAGAAACGTTCCCTCCCCGGTCCTCGGGTCGCGTCCACGATCGTTCCGAGGGAAACGCCGAACACGCGGGTAGGAACGAAGCGTTCCCGGACGAGAAGATGTTTCGCGCCACCGACAAAAGCGAATTTCAGATCCCGAGTGAAGGCTATTTTACTTCCATCCGCGAGCGTGTTGAAATATTTCGTTATTTCCACGTCCTCAATATTGTTCCCGCCAAACTACGAAGATTATGTAATAACGCCGCTGCGGTGACCTGTGCATCTGACCCCAGTCCCGACGCGTCTGCAGGACGGATCTATCGGTACGGGCACGATGTGTCGAAAAACTATGGAAATTCTATACGATACGAAAACGTGCAACTGCTTATGAACAATGTGTACGACAGCGATCCAAACCGAACGACTAAATCCATCATACCAAATCGATTGACAATCATGTTCGATTTTAAATGTCGGTTCAATTCCACGATTTAAGCATTATTCTGTTTGACGCGTTACGGCGTAGCGGTGGCACTCGACTGTACACCACATTTCGTGCATTAATTATTAATTAAAATTTAATTAGTAATTCGGCCCGAGTCCGCGACACGGAACACCCAGTGAATTTCTCAAACCAAATGCGTTTTTTGTTTCAATTGTCTTCGTCATACGAGCATTTTACGAATTTCGAATGATAATTGAAATTACGTTCGTTAAAATCGCAATGATCAGTATGTGTAACAGTAGTTTATATTTACATGCTAATAGTAATTAATCAAAACGAATTAATTTAAATCAACCGAACTTAGAACAGTACACCAACTAAATAGGAAGTAGTAATAATGCGTTGTGGACGGACCAAACCATACGCCGGGTTCTAAAGTAGTTGAATTCGAATAATTTGAAACGAAAAATCGCTTAACGCAAAGTACCACCGATACGTCTTGCACGAGTACGACAGTTTCACGACGAACTATCTATATTTTCTAGGTTACGATTGTCAATTTTCGTATTGAGTGATCGTGCATTGTAAACATTTTGAATCATCAATCTAGAAATTGCCGATAACATTATGCAGTGTTTGCTTAACAATATTCAATGTCAAACGTCACCGCAATGAAAAATATAATGACTGTCATAAATACGCTTGTGCGTGTAGGTTTGTTTGTAATGTTATAGGTATATTGTTAATTTTATGAATAGTGCAAAACGTTAATGTCAGAGAACAGATTTTAATAATAAAACAGTGTTGTACAGTCATCTAGGAAGTTATCAAAGCTATTAATCGTAAGATGATTTCGGGTTTGTTCGTAAACGTTTATAATGTATATTGTAGTACGCGAATAAACAATTTAATTAATGAACACACATTAAAGTTTAAATTAATTATTTTCAGTTGTTGACAATTAATACAGCGCCTAGCATATGTATACACATTGGTATTTACCGCACAAATGATTAGCGAATTAATGGTCCGTAAAAAATTCTCCTTCGTATGAAAACATTTTAAACACATTTAAACGTGTGGACGAAACCATAAGAATGAATTATTCTAATTTTTCTGTTTCGGACGATAACATAAAGGATAACGATGTTCATCGGACGGGCGAACAATTTCAATTCAATTTTTCTAATACAGTGCTGTTTTGCTAAGTGCGCCTGCATAACTAACCTGCATACAATACGACGCGAAGGCACTTCAAAGGACTGGGCCGGTAAAGCGTTTTTGTGCATCGAGTTTTCCGCAGAAGAAAATTAATCACCCGATCAATCATCATTATTGTTTATATTGTACGCCAAAAGTAATGACACTATTCTTGTAAACGTCGCATCGTCAAATGTATGTAAAAATAATAAATGGCAGTTTTCGAAACCGGATTCCTATAAATGGCAATTAAATATTATTATTTTTTTTACGTCCCAATGTTTTAGACTTGAGCTAGGCATCGTATTATAATATTTCATCATCATCATCATGTTGTAAATTAATTACCTGAAACTGGTTTTTTTTTATTTTTTAGTTCAAAAACCCAATAAAATTGCAGTGTGGATATTTTAAAAAAATCGTAAGTAAAACGTACACATAACACACGAACGTTAATATATATTGTTTAGGTGCACCGCGTCGCGCGACGTGCCTACATGACTTTCAATCGTTACCCGAAACATACGAGCGTACAATAAATATTTTACGGTCGTCCATTACGTGTGTTATAAAAATTACTGTGTGAACCATTGAAACGGACGTCGGATCGCATTACAAATAAATGACATACACGTTCGGTAAGATAATATAACATTACCGTCGAGTGTATATATTATATTTCTCGAAAACGTACAAACAGAGCGTTATGCTAAACGCGGTCCATAATTTTTGTCGCCGGGACGTTTCTTGATACCGTTCCAAATGTTGAACGCGCGGAGACTGCGACATTATAGTAATACCCGATTATGCTAATGTACTCGCGATAATTATTTGCAATTAAAAGGCAGCGGCATCGCGGGCCGGGCAGAACGCGTTTCCGTTAGTTTGACGTACTGGCAACGGCGGAGCGAAAAAATCGACGGAAAAAAATCGGAATCCCAATGCCAAACGCGCGGCACAACGTGCATCGACTATTATCCTGCGCGGAACACGTGTACACGGATATTCGTGGACGTATTCGAGCGGCTACACCTGGGCACGTGTGGTAAAAGTGAAATTTTGTGTTAATATTAAATTACCGCTGACAAGCAATTAACAGTGTACAATGCACCGAGCGCGCGGTGCTATTATTCGTTCTACCGTCGACCTCGTGGAGCGAACACATTTTCTTAACCGATTTGCATTAGAAACGGACATTTTGAAGGAATACACGACCGAAACACGTTGCAATAGGTTTTTGTTGTACTCGAAATTATATTTCACTCCAAATCCGTACCGATACGTTGTCTTACCGTTCGTTTTTGTTGTTCATTTGCCCGTCTAGGTACACGCGTGGCTACGAGTTTACAGTAACGCGTGTAAAAAATTTACCGAATACATGGTGTTTCGACCATTACGAATTCGTACAACTGCGGTGAATCCTTTGGTTACAATTCGATCAATAAATTATTATTTGCTGAAGACTTACAAAATAATGAATCAGCAATGAAATTCAATTCGAATGCAAATCGTTCGTATTAATAACTAATAATCATCCAATTGTTTTATTTACAATCTTATCTAGTACGAAAATTAAATTACATATTCAATACCGTCTATTACTAACTTACGTAAATAAGAAATCGTATAATATACAATCGCATTATTTGACTTTTTCCAAACTTTTTCGTCGTGCATCTAATTTTAATGCATTTATGCATTTAATTTAATTTTTGTACAAACTAATATTGAACAATGTTTTTTATTAAAAAAAAATTTGTAAGAGATATGCATGAACATTTATGATGTTTAAAATTATTTTTTAAAATTTATGACATTTAAAACTAAAAAGGTATTTTTTTTATCTGTCAGTTGTCGAATATGTGTCTTCTTCCTACTTTATTTTTTTCCCTTTATTCGTACGTGTACTATATAAAAAAAAAAAATAATAAGCCTGTGAGTCTAATAACTTTTTATCGAATATTTGGTGAAATTAAATATGTTTATATTTTTTTATTACAATAATAAATACTACTACACCGTAGTGGATGGTAAATTAAAACTCTATAGAAAGGTAAAATAACTATTAGTACACATTTCTCATGAAAGGTATATTTTTAAGATTGAATTAAAAATTGATTGATGATTTATTGAGTAAAAGTGAATGAGATATTGGTGTTTTTTGTACGAATAATAGAAAGTGAAAAGACATTATTTAATTTGTTAAAATTTAATTATAGATAATTGTATAAGAATCTGTATATTTACAAAGTCTAGTATTTAAAACACATTACCGTAAAAAAAAAAATTCAATAATTAATTAATAAGCTACGGTACCTAAATAGAGGGATAGAAGTTATTAAATTTCTTTTGTTTTCACTTCACCGTTTTTATTAATATCATGAAATAAAAATTAATTTTTTTATTGAGTACTGCTAGTTTTTCAAAATACAATATTTTTAATGAATACCTTATAAATCTGTCGAATAAAGTATCATTCGAAAGAAAGAAAAATTATAGATTCTCAAGTAGTAACTATTGCATTAGATTATTATTATGAGAGTTCCATGGACATATAATTGTGCTCTACTCAAAGACTGTATCAAATAGTTATTTAACGAATTCGTCAATAAAATACTTACATAACAAAGCCCCATTTCATCCTATCCCCTTGACTAAGCGAATCGAAAATTAAAATTAAAAAACTTAAACTAATAAAAAAATACTATTAAAATAAACTTGGGTATACGCTATAACCGTAATTAACGCGTAAAATATTATAACGATATTCATAATCTATTAATATAGCCGTGCACTTTGTGTAGGTTTGCGTTCAGTCTATGGATATATGTACATTCTTTGGCGATATCAAATCTACGGATTTGTGTATACGCTATAGAAGTTTGTATTTTCTATAAGAATCTGTACACTCTACGGATGAGATTTCGACTTGCAACATCATATTTATCGAAATTCAATTAAAATATAATATGTTCACTTTTCGGTTACTTAGGAAATGTTTAAGTAATTTTAATACGTTGTTTTAATAACTACCAATTGAGGAATGTGCAAATTAGTGTACTACAAATAAATTAAAAAAAAAAAAATCATTAAAATATACAATTGTACATTTTTACATCGGAATGGTAATTGCTTTAATCTTAAATAGTAAAATATCCCCCAGACAAAGGTAATTTAGCTGATAAATAAGTATATGTATTTACTACTGTATGTATATACGTACTTATATATTATTTACTCATATTTTAGCAATTTTCTATTTTCCATCCGACGTGTTTGTCTCATCGATGATCATCGGTATCGTCGTGCATGTGCTTCACAAGACTATAATATTCCAAACGTTTATAGAACACAATTCTGCCTGTACACAATTGTGTATATTTATCTAATGATCTTATTCTTGTTCTATCGTCATTGCTTATACAGTAATCATTCGATAATTCGAAAAACTCCATAAATCGAACTAAACGCTTAGACCCCTGAGGAAACTTCTATAATTAGAAGAAAATACATGTATTCCAGTTAACTCCATAATTCGAAATGTCTGTTGATGGCACTCACTCTACAATTCGAATTTTTTTTTATTCCGGAACCTCTATAATTCGAATTTGCTTTAACGTGGTTATACGTATGTTCATATGTATAAAATATATTCATATGTACATCTATTTGACGTACTCGCAGTGAAATTAATAAGGATAGCAATTAAATATTATCGTAGTTTTTAAATTTTATCGCATCTTACCTACCTTATCTAGACTTTGATCGTATCATTTTATCATTTTTATGTCAGGATTTTTCGAACATTTTTCGAGCATTCTGGAATGTACGTAAAAGGATGCAATACCATTTCCAATGCTATCAATAAGTTAGATAACGCTATGGACCAGATTGTGGCCAACAATTGAACACAAAAAAAAAAAGAACAGATTTCTTTAAAATGTAAAATATAATAATATAATAAATAAATGTCTTAATAAATATAAAATATTATACATAATATGTATAATAAATAAATTTCAGTTAATAAATGTAATATATGCATATAATTTTTCACCTCTCTTTAATTGGAATTAATTTTTTTCCTTGGACACTCGGTAATTCGAAAACCTCTATAAATCAAATTTTTAGCTTAGTCCCTTGAATTTCGAATTATCGAGTGACTACTGTATATATGTTAATAAACTAAATTATTATAATATCCGACAATTAAATCGCGTATCGTTATTATCATTATACATACTTGGTGTGAATGCGATTTCGGAGGTCATTAAACGGCGTCAACCTGTAAGACTACAGTAATTGTACACATAATTTACATACCAATCGTTTATTCGTAATAGAGTTTTCAGTAAAAAAAATAATAATAATAATGCATCCAATAGTATAATAATAAATTGTTTATAATAATGTGTATAATAAACGTTTTAAGTGAAAAAATTTGGACAGTACTAATTTTATTAATATTCATCATAACCATAAAAATAAATAATAATACATATGAGTAAAATTAATACGATTTAAGACAACAAAAAACGATTCGTATATACTAAATCTATCCTAGATATTTTACGAATTTAATAATTGTATATATTTTCCGATGATTAATTTTATCAAAAACAATAATTTGTGTTTTGTACCATCCGTAAACCTTTAGAATATAACTTACTAAGACGGTAATAACTAGGGCTGTGAATTTAATGCTCTAAAGAAACTTAAAAAATGGATTAAAAATGTCAAAAAAAATGCAATATAAAATGCCAAAAACTATAGTATAAAATGCATTGAAAATGGTTTTAAATTTAATTTTTATATTTATATTAATATTAGGTACAGAATACATTAGTACATCACATAAATCATTTTTTTTTTTTTTTTTAGTATTTATTTGGTTAAAATAATAAAACAAACTTAAATATATTTATTTTTGGGTACCTTATTCATCTTTAGTCTTTATAATTTGATTAAAAATACTCCAGAAAATGAACTAAAAAAGGAAAATATGACCTAAAAATGCACAAAAATGACCTAAACGATTAAAAACGTTAAAAAAATGCAAAATAGAAGTTGCATAAATGGATTCGTAGTTACATAATTCAAATGATGTACTGACAAAGGTGCGTTTCACAATCACCAAAAAAAAAAAAACGCGCTTTCCTACAAATTCACAGCTCTAGTATGAACCATTATATTACTGTTGTATTGTGTGTTTA